TATTTGAGTTCAGCTGGCAGGGAGGTCAGCTGTGTGGTGGTAGGCAGCCACGTGGCTGGGAGGGAAGGGCTTGAGGAGTGAAGCCAAAGCACTGGAAGCCCAATGTGTTAGGAAGGATGCTTAGAAAAGAGAACAGGAAAAGGGAAAACTGCTTCCAAGTAACTCAGAAAAGCAGGCAGCCTTCTGAAGCTGGTGTCTGTGGTTCTGTAAGAGACTGCCTGCTGTGGGGGTAGGAATTCCAGGAAGAAGTACACTATCTCATTGGAGGGATGATTATTCTACCTTCTCTTTAGGACGGCTTAAGGTGAGTCTACTTTTGAATCACATACAGGTGACATTCAAATGGTTAATTCTGATCTAAAACCACAGCCCTTTCTCTCTCCAAAATATATACTTAAGGAGCAACGAACAATAAAAAAGTTAGGTAAACTAATGCAGCAAAATATTTTTTCAGCTACACGTTTCTCCAGGAATAGTTAAGAAAAGAAAATAACTAAGGCACTTATTTTAGCTTAGGGGAGGACAGTAGAGATTTAGTTTAAGATCAGTTCATGTTTAAAGGAAACCTGGAGTTTAGAGTCATTTGAGGCCTTGGAGACTTCTCAAGGTAGAAATCCTAAACTGGTATGTCCTTTGCTCTCCCCAATCAGAAAACCCTGTACTGGGTTTCCTCTAACCACTTATTTTGGTCTGCTCTTCAAACTGCTCCTAAATGGAAACTCTGTACATCAAATACATCACAGAGCCCTCATACAGAACTAATCACTGAGTTAAGACCACCTTTTCCTTTGGCTATTTCAGAGTGACAATGATGCATTTCTCAAGCAAGAACTCAAGAGCTCGTGTCACACCAAGGCTCTGCCAAGAATAAACTCATGAAATCTGTGGAGCTGGCTGGGAATGAAACACTGGCCTCCAGGTAAATAGGAGTTCTATCCACTCTTTCCTGAAATACCACAAAAGAAGAGATATTTCCAAGGGCTTGAGGAAGAACCACTTTGCTTTTTTTAAAAGCGTTTTGTGCTTTTTTTTTTTTTTTTAAGGTGTTTTAAGTGAGTCTAAAAGGGGGAAATAAAAAATAAAAAAATGTAGGGTTACCCACACAAGTCCACTCCTACTATACTTATCTTCTAGGTCTTTTTTTTTTTTTTTTTTTTTTTTTTTCGAGGATGCATCATCTCTAGCAGCCGTTATGGTAGGTAAAATACCTACTTTTTCAAAGGACAACCAACCTCATATGCTTACCTAGTCATGTCATCTACAGGGAGGAAAGGATCCCTCAGCTGTTAGATAACTCATGCTGGGCTTCCTCAGCTTCTCTTGGAGATCAGATGGGAGAAAAGCTGTTAAGAGAATACCTGGCCATAAAGGGGTAATAACTGCTAAGAATCAAACTTCGGGAGAAATAACCTTATGGACAATTGAGGGAGTCTTCTCAAGAAACCAAAGAATTATCAGAACACCTCCATACTGAAAACTTACTCCAATTCTCATTCAATAAGAAAAAATTCTTCCTGTAGTACCTATAAATGTGCGAACACACCAGGACTAAGTTGATATTCAGTCAGAATGGCCAGATGTCTAGATAGAGTTCTATTGAGGTAAGACCTAATCACCTAGAGTGCTATGTACAAAAATTCTAAGGCGACTGAGCTTGGGCTAAGTCCAGATTCCACAAGACTGGCTCCTATGAGAAGAAAACAGGCAAGAGGTGGGAATTCTGCTAGGTGGAACATTAAATTTAGAGTCAATGAATCTATCTACTCAAAAACCTGTAGGTACATGGGGTGCCAAGCCTAGTTCACAAATCAAAGTATCTGTACAAGAGACAGGCACGCACACACAGTACACAGGCACATGCAGGCTGAACACCCGTACATAAAACAAACATCCATAAAATAAAATAAAAAAGAAAGGACTAGGTAGAATCAGAGAATGGAGACTCAAAGGTTAAACAATTTAAACAAACAGTCCAAACGAAGGTTACCACTATCTATCATGTTTTGATTTCCTATCATTCTCCATAGCACACATTTCAGCTTTCTTAAGGTTTACCAGGTCTCTGCTGTGCTGAATTGTGTCCCTGTATCCTCTTAAATGGTATGTTGAAGTCCTAAACTGCAAACCTGTAGACTTGTCCTTAAAATAGGGAGACTATGCAGGTAGGCAAAAACCAATCACATCCCCTTAGGAATGGATCTTCCCACTGGCTGCAAAAGGCAAACCTGAAGAGACTGAAATCACAAAAAGATTCAAGGAAAGGACCCTGCTGATGACCTTGAAAGAGAAAGCTTCGGTATCACTGGGAAGGCACATGGCAGGAACTGTATGTCTATAACCTGACCCAGGAAAGATAATTGCAGACCAGTCTTACAAACAAAACAATCAATTTGCCAGCAACTAAGGGAGCTTGGAAAAGAATATCTGTGCAGAGTCCAGCCCAACCAACATCTTGATCTCATTCTTGAAAGGAGTCTAAGTATAAAACCTAGCTATAACCATTCAGATTTCTGACCTACAGAGCTGTGAGCTAATAAGTGAGTGCTGTTGTAAAACCATTAAATCACCACAATTCATTATGTAGCAATAGAAAACAAATATGAGATTTTATTTGACTATTTTGAGGGTTCAATAAAAATTCTTTCTAAATGATATAAATAAGTGTTATTATCCAGTTGATATTTCTAAACAGAAATCATTTTCCATAACTCATCTAATTAGTCTAATTTTCTTTCTTTCTTTCTCTATTTTTATAGCTTTGTCTTACTATGTTGTGGAATGGTATAAAATACATACCTCTCTGGGATAGGACCCATGTGTGATGAAACGTGTATGTGAGGGTGTGGGTGTAAATAAATCAGAGGAAGGAAGATGTTATCAAAGGTTAGTAAGTAAAGTGCTATGGATCTAACCTCTAAGACTATACAGTAGGCCTAATGTTAGCATGCACTGACAAACAGAAAATGTTTGTAAGAATAATTTATCACATATGTAGTTATTTTGTTTGACATCAAAATTTCACAGATTTGTTTTGTGTTTTCATAGTGTAAGGGACACGGAAGAAAACACAAAATAATTTATATTTTCTATGATACAATAAGTTATATAAGACTAGGTGGTGGTGGCCCACGCCTTTAGTCCCAGCACTCTGGAGACAGAAGCAGATTTCTGTGAGTAAGAGGCTAGTCTGGTCTACAGAGCTAGTTACAGGACATCCGGGACTAACACACACAAAAACCCTGTCTCAAAAAAAAGTTACATAAAGAAACACTAATAACATATACCTAACCCTCCTAATGGAAACTACTAACAGACCTGTGAGAGCCTTATAAAAGAATCGAAATATATGTTCAAAGTACAAAAGGTTTCATCCACTTCACTTCAAAATATGGGAATCGCCAGGCAGAGGCAACGGGCAGTGGCGGTGGTGACGCACACCTTTAATCCCAGCACTAGGAGGCAGAGGCAGGGGGATCTCTGTGAGTTAGAGGCCAGTGTGGTCTACAGAGTGAGTGCCAGGACAATCAGGGCTGTTACAAAGAGAAACCATGCCTAAAAATAATAATAATAATAATAATAATAATAATAATAATAATAATAATTTGGAGTCACAACCTGCCTTTCATTTTATAATTGCTTCTTTTAATTTTATAATGTACTATGGGCATTTCCCCCAGTTATTTTATATCCTTATAACATTATTTTTTAATAGAAGCACACTAAAAATACAAATTGATACAATTTAATTAACCGATCTACTGTTCCTACTATAAGCAATGCATCTTTTCCCTTCTATCTTTGTACACAGATGATGTTATTTCCTTAAACTAAACTCTTGCAAGTAGAATTACTAGGCTGGCAAGTATCTCTGCATAGTTAAATCTTCTGCATATTCTTTCAGTACTTTTATAATTAAAAATGGATTATTTTTGAGAGGTCTGCCAGTTGTTCTAATTATGCTTTTTGAGTAATTCAATACCATTTAAGGCATTCTGAGGGCAAGTGTCTCCTACATCCTTTTGGACATTTATTTGTATAAATCAAGTACAGAATGATTTTGCCAAGGATTCCTAAAGAACTGTTGAAATTATTAAATATGTAGAATAAACTGGGTGATGCTTCTATGGTTTTTCATTCAATTTTTTTTTTTTTTTTTTTTTTTTTGTCTTTTGATAGTTTCTTATTTTCTCTATATATGTCTTGCCTATTTCCTTTTTGGGTTTAGTTTTAGTATTTCATATACTTTCCTCCATGTTTTCTAATAATTTACTGCTCAAATACTGGCAGTATATTAAACATTTGTATCACATTTATATGCTGTCATGCACTGAGAATATGAGGTGCCCCCACAAATGACCATGTATTGAAGACTCAACCCTTAGGTGGTGACAATGCTGAGATGTGAATGGGTTGTGAATGTGTGAATTTCATCAATCCCTTAAATCCACCGGTGAGTTTATACTAAAGGGACTCTTAGAAGGTAGGGCACAAAGTAGATCACTGGAGGCATGACTTGATCCCTTCTTGACTCTTTCTCTCTGCTTCCCAGCTGCCATAAAATAATCAGCTATTGTTTCACATGCCCTCCCACTGCAAGTTCTATCCCATCACAGGCCTAGAAACATAGAACCAAGTAACCCTAAAGTAAAACCTCTAAAACCATGAGCCAAAATATAAATCTGTACTCATTCAGCTTGTTTCTCTCAGGTATTTTGTCACAATGTCAGAAAGGTTAATTCAAATGTATCATACAAAGATACATAAAATATATTTTACATATGTATCATATTCTACATATATTATAGCGCTTTCTCTAACCAAACTTTACTATTCATTACTTTTTAATTTTATTTTTACTCTAGATAACACCTAAAATTTTAAGGTTAAAAGTAATAATTGTCAATCGTTTTGTAAATATTTACATAGTCTATTGCTTAAAAACGCATTTTAAGTCATTTAATACTATAACACACTTCCAGCCAAGATACATAGACCATTACCATTCCTGATGTTAGGGAGAGCCAGATGGGTAGGTGAACTTCTATTTTCAGCAGCTTCTTTCTTCTGGGTAACTGTCGAAACAAAGCTGCTCAAACTGGAAATCTGGCTCTTGGATCCTCTGTCCAAGCCCTAAAAAAAAATCATTTAAAATTGTGACATAATGTCTCCTGACTGTAGTTAAGTAATTTTATTATAGGAAAGTGTTATCATAGATACTTAGATTTTATGACAGAAAGACGATGAAACTATTACATATGTAACTGACCAAATTCTCTTAGTATAATCAAACCCTGTCAATCATCTAAGTACTTACTGTTAGTATTCAGGCAACTCTACTGGCCTGTCTTTGGGGTTCTGACAGGATACACCCTCAGCTGTAGCCACTAAGAGCACCACCTGTGCACATTCACTGTGTTCCCTTAAAACAGGGCCCTGTCCACCTCCCATCCTTCTCTCTCTTTTTCTTTCCTTCTCTGTTTGTCCCTGGTCCTTTCTTCTACCCTGCTGCTCCTGTCTCTGGAGGCTGGTCTCTCTCCCTCCCCTTTCCCCCTTTGATGATCACTTTCTCTAATAAAAAAAAAAAAAAAAAAAAAACCCACTCTGCTTGAACCCTGTAGAATGGCATCTTTCTCTCCTGCACTGCTTTTCTTAAATTACAACACTTACAAACTGGTAAGATTTAGAAAGGGGACGGTGGTAATATATTTATTTCATAGTTATGACAGTTAACAAATTCTCCTCACAGAGTAGTTACTACTCCTTCCTTGTACACAATGTATACTCCATAAATCTTAACTATTTTAACTATGTATTTAGATAATACTGTTTTTATGAGCGCCAAATTTATAAGTTTTAATATTTTATGAACTACATTACAGGTTTATTAAATTTTTTTAATAATCATCTACTCCAACTTTAAAAATTCATATAAAATGGTAAATCCTTTAGTGTTGTTTTTTTCCAAGCATTATAATTAAATTGTGGGTATACCAGGATTAAAAAGTGTTCTAACCATGTAGGATCCCTTAGGTAGAGACCATAGAGCACTTAAAAAAACTATCCATTAACACATTTTCTACCCCAACAACTCCAAAAATTCTTAAAACATTTAATTAACTCATATTGTTATATATATATATATATATATTATAAACACACACACACACACACACACACACACACAGAACAATTAAGCAGCAGGGCTGACTTTAGGCCTTTTCTTAGGTCTTTGATCGTTATGAACGTATGTTTCCAGACCTTAGGTTGTTTTGTTTTGAGACAAGACCTCACTATGTATCCCTGCTGACCTGAAACTTGGTATATGGCTTAGACTGCCCTTGGACTCCTCCTGTCTCAGCCTCCCCAGTGTTGAGATCACAGATACACACCACCATACCCCACTTTTAAGCTCCCAGAATCTTGAGAATAGTAGTTAACTTCTTAATATACTTTGCTCACATCGTGTGTGCGTGCATGCATGCATGCGTGCGTGCGTGCGTGCGCGCGCGCGCGTGCGTGCGTGTGTGTGTGTGTGTGTGTGTGTGTGTGTGTGTGTGCAGCCTCAGGGAATCTGCTCTCTTCATCCACCATGTGGATGCAAAGTGAATGAACTCAAGTCAGCAGTCTCAGTGGCAAGCACCTTTACCCACAAAGCCATCTTCCCAGCCCAACATCTACTTTTTAATCTAACGGTAGTTTTATTTTCATAGTAGCAAAACAGTTTCTTTTTTTACTTCTTTAATTACTCACCAGATTAGTTTCATTTACCCTTTTAAAACCAATGTACACATAATACAGCAGAAGCATTTGTGCTCACCAAATATTCATGTGCTCTCTTCCTGTCCTTTTCTAGAGCCATCAATAACTCTGATGGGCTACACGTAGAAATAACATCTATCAGTTCTGGAAAGAAGTGTGGACACGTGTAAGACTGGTGGGGAATCCCAGCTCTCTGCTGTCTCCTAGCACTGTGGCAATACCAGATGATAAGAGCTGAGGTTCTGGATTATTCATGAGCTTGGGTCTTGAGTGATGGATTATACAGAGCAGAGCCACTTCTGATCCACAGGCTATACACAAACAATAATACAACTTTTCCCCCCTCAGACAGGGTTTCTCTGTGTAGCTTTGTAGACCATACTGCCCTCGAACTCACAGAGATCTGCCTGCATCTGCCTCCCAAGTGCTGGGATTAAAGGCATGCACCACTACCATCCAGCTAATAAAACTTTTTTTAAACACTGAAATTAAAAGAGCTCAAAGAAAATAAATTGGAGACACTACACACATAGTGTTTACATTTTTGGATATAAGCTACTTTGTAAATCTTATTTCATATGAAGCAAAAAAAAAAAAAAAAAAAAATCTAGGACAGCTAAAACAATCCTGTACAATAAAAGAACTTCCAGAGGTATCACCATCCCTGAATTCAAGCTGTACTACCAAGTTAAAGTAATAAAAACTACATGGTACTGGCATATAAACAGGCAAGTGGATCAATGGAATGGAATCAAAGACACAGACATAAATCCACACACATATGGACACCTGATTTTTGATAAAGAAGTCAGGAAAACACATGGGAAAAAGAAAGCAACTTCAAAAAATGGTGCTGGTCTAACTGGATATTGACATGTGGAAGAATGCAAATAGATCCATACTTATCAAACTGCACAAATCTGAGCTCCAAGTGGATCAAAGACCTCAGCAAAAAACCAGACACGCTGAACCGAATAGAAGTGAAAGTGGGGGACAGCCTTAAACATGCTGGCACAGGAAACAACGTCTGAACAGAACACCAATAGTACAAGTACTCAGAACAAAAATTAACAAATGAGACATCATGAAACAGAACAGCTTCTGTAAAGCAAGGGTCACTGTCAACAGGACAAAATGACAGCCTACAGAATGGGAAAAGATTTTCACCAACTCCACAACTGGGCTAATATCCAAAGCATATAAAGAACTCAAGAACTAGATAGACATCAGCAAACCAAATAATCCAACTAAACAATGGGGTGCACATCCAAACAGAATTCTCAACAGAGGAATCACAAATGGCTAAGAAATGCTTAAAGAAATGTTCAACATCCATAGTGATCAGGAAATGCAAATCAAAACTACTAGCAGGGGGACTGAAATTATAAAAATATTATACCCTTTCTTATGCTTAGACCTGCCACACATACTATAATTGACTTTCAGGATTTTGAGTCTTGTCTGGAGTTCTACCGAAGAACACTAGAGATGAAATTTTGGAATAGGGCCAGCCAGCCTGAAAACAGTGGGCTGTATGTGTTGAAGAATAGACAGCAGCAAGATACTCAACCAGCTGTTACAGACTGAAGCACAAAGAACCGGGGGTGGAGGGTGCAGGGGGTTGAACTTTAAAACTTCATTGAGAAAAAAAAATATACTCAAAATATTTCAACCTAGTAAATAATAGGATTCATTCTCTGGGCAGAGATGGCCCATGAATTTACTAAACAAGTTCATATTTCAAGCAGCAAAAAGTTTTATGTAGTAATTATAATTTTTATTTTGCTAGTACCAAACATGGGCCTCCACAGTTTTCTGACTACATACGCATGAAGGATATATGTAACATTACAATCTTAAGTAATATTGTACGACCCTCAGAATGAGGACTCTTCCAGGTTCGGTCTATACCCCAAGAACTCAATGTCCAGTCCAGCTGCTGCAAAATGCAAGAGGCTTTAATGAACAGGAAACGTTTGCGCAAACGGGCTCCTCCAGCGCACAGGCTAGAGAGAAGCCCCCTCCCATGGGCCCAGGTGTTTTTAAAGGCAAACCCACAAGCTTAGGGAGGGGGTGGGACCCTCTGTCCACTGAGTACATGACCCTTGGAGGCCGGACTCGCTATTAGGGTCAACAGTCCTTAGGGCCTCAGGGTGTGCTGATTAATTTTGTCTGGGCAAACCAGAGTTGCAGCTATCTCTTGTTTCCTATTCACCACCTGCTGACTCACAGGAAAGGAGGGGCAGTGTGAATTCTTCTTATCTCAGGGCCTTGTGAGAGGAAGCTAGCAAATTCCAAGGAACAGATATTGGTTTCCAGGTTAGTCCATCATTAACATTACTTTTTAGGTCTTTCAATATCAAAAAGTTAAATAGACAAATGCTTAGAATACCTACTCTGCTCATGTTAACATATAATGATGCATTTTCTTTTTCTTTTATAATGATGTATTTTCAACCTTATTTTCTTTGAATATTCGAGTCCTACTTTAAAAGTTTACTGAGGAACAATATGAGTCAAACTTCTAATTTCTTAAATCACATTTTTCTATTAGATGCCCTAAGTGGAAGTATTCAGGCTTCACTGATCACTTTTAAGTACTAATTTCTGTTGTGTATTTGATTTAGTGCCTCCAAAAACTGCCTTAGAAGATAAACATTTTTGCGTCTTCTAAGACAATAAAGGTATAATTGCCTCTGTTTCATCACACAATGCTATAAAATGGTTATATCTCCCCCTATCATACAGTCTCTGAAATAAAATATTTTAAATTGAATTTCTATGTCTGCAAATCCAACCTTCACTCTCAAGGAATCCAGAGTAGGCCACCTATAATAGATACAAGATAGATAGAAGAGTAAATGGTTTCCTGAGGTATTCAGTGAAGGTTATTATGTCAAACAAGTAGCAGGCAAATACATCTGTATGCTCTAAGTTAAATAAGCAATCCTTAGGATCTCTTGCTTGTCGATTTCCAAAACAAACTCTCCTAGCTACCAATCAGGAGCATATAAGATGTATGTGTATTCAGAATCCATAAAAGAACTATTTGGGGTCTTGATAGCAGATATGTTCTCTCTCTCTCTCTCTCTCTTTCTCTCTCTCTCTCTTTTAATTCTTTCCCTACAGTTAAGATGCTGGATTACAAAATACCAAGTACTAACTTTATATTTTTAAATCATGAATTTTCAGCTACTCTTAAGCTGTGAACTCTTTTTTTCTAAACTAAATAGCACCAGCCCTCAAGAAGAATTTTAATATGAACTGTATCCTTTAAAGGAGAGTAATAAAGATTTTGAAATAATTTCATTATTGCTTAATTGGCATAAGGTTCACTGAAGATACAATTTGACTTTTTTTCTTACAAGACT